GCTGGGGGGGGTGGATGAGTCGGGTGTTCTGGGGGGGGCTGTCAGGAGGCAGGGGTGTGAAGAGGGGTTGGAGGAGGGGGGGTTGTGTAGGTCGGGAGTTCTGGGGGTCCTGTCAGGGGGCGGGGAGCGGTTGGATAGGCATGGGAGTTCCGGGGGTCTGTTTGGGGGCGGGGGTGTGGATTAGGGTCAGGGTAGTCAGGGGACAGGTAGGGGGTAGGGTCCTAGGGGTGCAGTAAGGGGACAAGTAGCAGAGGGGGTTGGGGATTCTGAAGGGGGAAGTCAGGGGGCGGGAAGTAGGAGGGAGTGGATGGGGGCAGGTCTCCCTGGGTGCACACCCTCATGAAATGGGCTGCCCACGTCTATGAAGCAAACCCTATGCCTTCACCAGATTTGTAAAAACTTGGGGGGGGGGGGGAATATCTATGAATGGGTGACTTTTAAACTAAATTTGTAAATATTTTACTCGGTATCCACAGGCCTTTTCCATTTCTAAATTAACTTCTTCCCAAATAAAATCTGCCAGCTGTGGGAATCTTAGTGCACCCACCTACATAGGGCACCCACAAATAAGTATTAGCTGCTTTATTCTCTCGTTTCCCTTTTGAATAATTTACAGTAAATTGGAAGCTAGAGGTGAAGCACAGCTACACATCACCTATAAATATTAACAATGTTTGAAACCAATTCTTTAGCTCTTCACTAGTGAGGGGCAGGGCTCGTACAGCGCTTTGCACGCGTAAAGCACTGTCTGGACTTGATTACACTCATGCTTTGCGAGATCAAACCCTGAATGTGGGAATTAACGAAATTATAAATCAGTAGCAGCACTGAAACAGTTTCCCTAAACTACGGCGGAGATGTTAATCCACGCTCTGGGTGGGCCGCACTGCAGGATAAATCTGACCCACACTCGGGCGTGGAGACCTTCCTGCTCTCGGGGGGGGGGGGTTGAAATCTGGATGCGGCTCTTAGCTGTGCGGCCACAGTCCCTGGGTGGGGGATTGAATTGTCCCCGGCACACGCAGGCCCAGCGCCC